GCTGACGAGACAGAGACGAGTGGTGTTGGTCTTTGACTGGCTTCATTTAGTTTATTTCGCATGCTAGTAGACTTGGGTTTATTTATGCTTATTTATGACTTGGGAACTTTGGTATTTATGATTTATGACTTTGGAATTTTGAGAACTTTGGATTGGGAGATGTTCCCTTATGAACAATTTAGATGAACTTGGGATTTATGAAAACATTTGATTTATGATTTACGTTATTTATGTGATTTAGTTCGAGTAGCGCCACTGATTTATGAAAAGAAATCTGAAAAATTTAAGTTGACTTTTGACTTTCGTCAAAATAAAAGTGGGGCGTTACAGGTTGTGTGTTAAAAAAATAATGTTACAAATGGGATTTTGTCAGCAATTTGTCAACCTAATTATGGTCTGCATCTCCTCATGTTCTTATTCTTTCAAAGTGAATGGACTTATCAGTGGTTATGTTTTGCCTTCTAGAGGAATCAGACAGGGGGACCCTCTGTCCCCCTACCTTTTTATAATTATGGCTGAACTTCTCTCTGCCCTTGTGTCTGCATCTGTGGCTTCTGGTGATTTTATTGGGTTGAAGTTATCTAGAAATGGTCCTGCTCTATCACACTTACTGTTTGCAGACGACTCTTTATTTTTTTGCAAAGCCTCTGTGGATCAAACTGCTCTTCTTCTGAATTTGCTGGAAAAATATAGGCTTTTCACTGGACAAACTGTCAATATGCTGAAATCTGCTGTTTTCTTCAGTAGAAGTTGCCCTGCCATTCTTCAGTCTAGAATCTGTTCCTCTCTTAATGGAATTCCCTCTCATAAATCTACAAGATACTTGGGATTACCTCTGGGAATTGGCAAGTCAAAAATTGAAGTGTTTCAATATGTGGTTGATTCTGTTAAATCTAGAATTCAGAACTGGAAATCAAATATGCTCACCCCTGCTGGCAAAGAGGTGCTCATAAAGGCTGTGTTGCAGGCCTTACCTATATTTTCTATGTCTTGTTTTAAACTGCCAGTTGCTATATGCTCTGATATTGCTAGGATCTGTGCTCAATTCTGGTGGAAGAATGGGGAAATCAATTCTCAAGGAATTCATTGGAAATCCTGGTCCAAACTGTCTCTCCCCAAGGCTTGTGGTGGGTTGGGCTTCCAGGATATCATGAACTTCAACAAAGCTCTTATTTGCAAACAGCTCTGGAGGGTGCATACTCAGCCTCACTTATTGATGAGCAGAATTCTCGAAGATAGGTACTTTTCTAATTGCTCTATATTTGAAGCAAGTAAACCTTCTAATTGCTCTTGGCTTTGGTCTACCTGGCTGGATGTGCTTCCTCTATTTTCTAAAGGCTTTGCGGTTGAGGTCAGATCTGGTGCTAATACTATGCTGTCTGATGTTAATTGGGTGCCTAAATTGAATAAACTCAGACCTGATCTTCTTGATTTGGCCAGGGGTCACATAACCTGGGTCAAAGAATTGCTTAATGCCTCAGGCACTGATTGGAACTCATGGTTGGTTTCTCAGCTTTTCAATGCTGATGATTGTAAGGCTATTCTAAACATCTCAACTTTGAAACCTGGAGCACCTGACAGATTTTACTGGTCCTTTGACAAGAAAGGAGTGTTCTCTGTTTCAAGCACTTATGCTTATCTTACTGCTCAGAAACTTCTCTCCCTGGACTTACCTTGTAGCAGCTCTTCTTCTTTTGGAACAAATGCTGGATTTAATCGATGTTGGAAGCTCAAAGTTGCTGGAAAAATCCAGCATTTCATATGGAAATGTCTGTCTAGAACTCTGCCAGTGAAGGAGAACCTTAAGAAACGAGGGATGGTTATGGATATTATTTGTGAGAAATGTGGCAAGAGCTCAGAATCACTGGAGCATGTGCTGTTTCATTGTCCAGCAGCTAGAAGAACATGGGATCTGTCTCCAGTGTCATGGGATGGCCTCAACTCTTTCACTAACTCTTTCTCAACCTGGTGGTCTCATATTAGCTCTCTCAACAAGTCAGTTATTGCCGAAGCCCGGATACAACTCACTACGTATATGCTATGGTGGCTTTGGAAATCCAGAAATCTCTGGATTTTTCAAAAAATTTCTCTGCCCCCCCACCTGATTGTCAATTTAGCCCACAGGGACTGGCTGGACTTCTCCTTTGCCAATTTGTAGTCTCTCTTTTGGGTTGGATGTTTGTTTTCCTTGTTCATAGCTTTGTGTAGTTGTTTGGTTCCTTTTGGTGGTTTGTTGTGTTATTTCCATCTAGGCTTCGGCAGTGGATGGTTTTCTAGTTCTTGGTGTTTTTGTTGAGGTTCTAGGCCGCATTGTTGCGTGTCCTTTCAGTTTTCTGCTTTCAGTTGTTGTGGATTGTATTCGAACAGTTTTCGTTTGGTTATATATATCTCTATCGTTCCGGAAAAAAAAAAAATAATGGCATAATGAATTTAAATAAATAAATACACTATTATGGCCATTAAATACTGAATCTCCTTAAACAAGGAAGCCTAATATATTCTTTCCATGTTCAACTGGAACTCCCACTGCAGTAGAATCATGGTTGATATCGTACTGTTTGTCCACCAAGTAAAAAGCACCTCAACCAGCTGCAGCCGCCGCCGCCACCTGTCGCCGCGGGGCGCGGCCGCCTACTGCCGGTCGCCGGTGAAAAATCCAGCGGCTTCAATTTTTTTTTGATCTCGCGCGTTTCGCACGTGGTCATCCGGGTTCCGGTTCGGTTAGATTTTCGAGGCTCGTCGATCTCTTGTAATCTCCTGGCAATTAATCCACGATTGCAACACGAAAAATATAATTTACAAAATTACATAATCCGGATAGGAGTGTTCACGGTTCGGTTTTAACCGGAGAAAACCATCAATCCGGACCGCAGATTGGTTAAATGGTCGGTTAAAAAAGCCTTAAAAATCCATTGGTTAATTTTTTTAAAAATTCATAATAACCGGTCCGGTTAACGGATTACGCGGCAAACCGCCGGTTTAACCGAACCGGACCAGTAAATATAAAAAAACTATAACAAATATATATATATATATACATACATTCAGTCATTCATTATGACCGGCAAATATAATACATTTACTTTCACTTTTTGGCATTTTGTTGACTTAATTTTGTAGATACTATAATTTTTCACTTTTTTCCACCTTGCTTGGATTCAGTTTGCATTATTTAATCTTCTATCATTTTGTATTTTTATGTTTATGGGACGAAATGTGTATTTTTATACTTATGGGATGAATTGTGTATTTTTTATTTCATTATTGTTGTGTTTTCTTAATTTTTAGGCACAAATAATCTATTTTGAGCCCAAAGTTGGAAAATAAAAATTAAGCCCAAAATGAAAAAATTGAAGGCCCAAAACAAGGATTTTGAATTTAACCGGTTAACCGCCAAACCGGACCGTCCATACAGTCCAGATTGTGGCCGGTTAAAAAATAAAACTGGTCCGGTTATGGACAAGAAAAAAAATTAACCGTTAGGTCCAGTTTGGTCATGGTTTGGGCTAAAACCGGACCAAACCAGACCGTGAACACCCCTAAATCCGGTCCTAGATCCAACGAATGGATGTACATGTTCTTCTAAACAAAACAATTAAATCTATCCGGTCAACTCCCAGGCAAATAATTATTACAAACAATCATTCATCAAGTTTCTCGACATGCCCGAGGCTTTAAAAACAAATTTAAAACCATACATCACATTTAACAACATTCATCAAACACATCGTCGGCCATAATAGTGGATTAAAGTAATTCCTGCAAAACCGAGTTATGCGAATATAATCCAATATATGGCTGCGTTTGAACACATCTTGTCAAATAAAGCCGTAAAAATTCGAACTTGTACAAAATGAATTAAACCAAGTTCTCTGATACCACTTGTTTGGATCTATAAGGATCTCGTTATGTACAAATAAGGAATTCCATAGCAAAACGTAAACCTATGCCAGCAGATCTAAAGGTTTGCGTAGAGAACTTACGGCTTAAAATTTTTGGCGATCTGGATGATCTTCCGGATGGCCGTACAATCACACAAATTGGATTGGGTCACGAACGGAACGTCGGGTTCACAATCAGATCGTGTGGACAAGGCTGACAAGCTCCCAAATGTCGGATTGGGTCACCGGGAAGGTCGCGTCGGGCTCCTGGGCTGATCGCGTGTCGCGGCCTCGTCATGGGGCTGGTCCTTCGTCGCGTCGCGGTGGTCGGTGGTGATTCGTCGGGCCTGCGACGGTGGTCGGCGATCCTCGGGCTTGGCTCGTGGATCGTTGACTTATGTAGAAGATTATCGGGTCTCGAACACCTATTGATCTTCTACTGTATATCTTACACCTTCTTCAACTTGTACCAGTAGATCAACAAGAAGAAGACAAAGCTCGAATGAGAACTGATAAAGAGAGAGAGAGCGAGAGAGAGAGAGAGAGACAGACGCACGGCATGAATAATGTGTGTTCTTTGAATTATTAATTCATGTTCTCTTCCAATGAGCTTAATGATGTATATATAGAGATATAGTAGGGACCCTTAGGAGATTAGGAGAAGGGCTCCTTAATAATTAAAATACTTGTGGGTCAGCCCACTTATTCTAATTAATCAAATAATATTAAATGAACCACCAACATAATATTATTGCACTCTCTTTTCCTAACCCAATTTACCATTGGGACTCCAATAATAATTACTCGATTATCTCCCCATGTTTAAGATATAATTTTCATTAATTAATTCGATCACTGACAATCAAGAAGTAATTAATTTATTATTATTTTACCAAAGCTAGCGCTCGTTCATCACATTCATATTATGCCAGAATTTAATCCATCTGCAGAGTTTAGCATAATATTCCTTCATGAACTCATTCTGGGGACATCATCAAACTAACACACACGGTGACCGGAAATATTCTAACAGCACATCCTATATGTAGCAATATTACCCAAGACAGAGGGTCTATTGGCCCAGTTCACTAAGCCTCACCCATGTGAATCAAAGTAATAAGTACTACACATATATGTCTGTTTCATATCTTACGGATTACGCAGTAATTAACCGAGGACTAGTTCGTTTACGAGGATCAGCACAAAACGAATTGCTCCTCTCTAGGATCTTGTTCAATACATAAATGTACTAGTGCAACTAATCAGCCAAGACAAACTTTATAGTTGACACTATAACCATTCGCGGTGGAGTGTTCATGTCCATCTAGGTTGTGAACCATTATTCTTGTTTCACGAGTAACTGATAGAGTGATCTTTGGTTCGCCCGATGACAACCCACCCTATCTAATGCAAAACAACAGAACGCCAAACTTGTTTAATCTAACATGTTTCTCATTCATAAAGGGTAAAAGTGTAATATCATCCAAAACCAAACTTTCAGTATATAACACTAACACTATACTCCATTTTTTTAGCCTTACTACATTGCCACAAAGAATGCTCAATAGTTTCCTCTTCTTCTCCACATATTTGACAAATAAGGTCAACAGAAACACCTTTTTTTGGAAGAGTTTTTTAGGAACACTTCTACCTTAAAATTTTAAGTTAAATGATTATACCTTAAAATAACCTTAAACTAGCCAACATTGTTTTATAATTCCAAATGTCATCAAAATAAAAAAGAAAGAGGCATGCGACTAGAAAAGAAGAAAAAAGTGGTTTAATAACAAAATAGGTACTTGTAGAAAAAACGTTTTTTATATCGGGTGAAAATGACTTTATATAGGTTTCAGCTTTGATATAGGTTCAACCGATATAATAAGTGTCATCTTTTTATTTCGTTCAACACCACATATAGAAAGTAAACTTTTGATATAGGGTGAATGAATCACCTCATCTAGAAGAGACATCTAGAAAGCTGGATTAAAGAATACCCGATATAGAAAATATGTTTTCTATATCGGGTGAATGATTCACCACATTTAAAAAAAAAAATCTTTTTATATGGGTTGGACTTAG